GGGGTGGGGGGATGTGGGGTTATGTGCTTGGGTGTGTGTGGTGTGTGGGGGTGTATATGGGAGGTGTAGGTGTGTGGGAGGTGTGGTATGAGGGGAGTAGGGGCTGTGTGGTACAGGGGAGGGTGGGGAGGGTAAGGGGAGCAAGAGAAGCGGAGGGAAAACCTGGCACTCAAAGTCTTTCACCACCACTCTCAGCCAGGCCTGGGACTGGGACCTTAGAGCAGGAGTTTTCAAACCTAAAGATAATCAGAATCCCCCAGAGGGCTTGTTAAACACAGATCCTGCCCCACACCCAGAGTTTTTGCTCAGCAGGTGTAATGGACTGAATGTTTGTGTTCCTTCAAATTCATATGGTGAAACCATAACCACCAACGTGATGGTGTTTGGAGGTGGGGCATTTGGGAGGTGATTAGAGTTTGATAAGCTCATGAGGGTGGGGCCCCCATGATGGGATTAGTGGCCCCCAGGTTACTGCCAGCTTTCCTGCTGGGGGTCTGGGCTGAGCCCCCTTACATACCTCTTCAGAGCCTGGAGCAGGCTGTGGGGCACGGGTCAGGCTCTGGCCTAGCCCCAGCCTGGCCCCTTCCATCCATCACTTCCCCATCCTGAGCAGGGGAACCCTGACCCTTCACAGAGCTGGGCTTCCCTAAAGCTTTGAGCAGTGTAATGGGGCCTTGTCCTCTCCCATGGGGACTCGGCACACATCACTGAGACCACTGTTTCATGGGCAGCTTCCTCGGCACCCACACCGTGAAACACACTTTGGCTGAAACCAGAAAAAATCCTACTGCTTCTCTTGCACAGTGATAGCATCATCCTGGGCTCAGGCAGGTCCTCCTGCAGCCCTGCCCAGCCTCCCATCGCTGGTGAAACCCGACTCTCAATTGAACTGAAAGCTGGCTGACTCAGAGCCTAAGCAATTAGGAGTGCCAGGCCTCTCTAATTAACCAGCCTGCCCCTCTCCCTTCCCACCACAGCCCTCCCCTAATGAGGGCAGGCAGCCTGGGCGTGTGGGCCCAATTACTGAAGGGTAGCTGCCGCTAGGGCCAGCATCATGGGTTCCACCCACATACTCAGCTTGTGGCTGCTGAACCCTGCCAGGGCCCGTGCAGGAGACAGCTCCATGTGGCCAGGAGCAGCAGAGGATCCCCCCCCCGAGGCCTGGATCTGGATACTTCCCACGTTGGAGATCTCCCCAGCAGCCTGCCCATGGCCACATACCTCCTGGACCCAGGGCTGCCTGCCATTGCAAAAGGTGAGGAGGTAGAAAGTGGAGTTGGAAATAAACAGAAGGTCCTCAGTAAATGGTGAACCTAGAGTGGAGGACTCCTGAGGCTCCCAGTCAGGCTAGTACCCTGTTAGAGCTCTCTCAGGCCTCTGGGGCTGTCTCTGTAATCCAACCACGTCTATAATCAATTAACCCATCACCGAGGAGGGCAGGGATCTGTGTGTCCCTACACCACATCCCCCATGTCTGCACCAGCAGTACACTACATATTTGTTGGATGAGTGAATAGATGACATTGTCCTCCCCTCCCAGACACCAGAGGGCTCCTGCAAGAGCTAAAGCCTTGCTAGGGGCTCTGAAGCTAAGTCTGGGCCTCTCCTGATTCTCCTAGGTGATCAATGCCTGGCAGAGTGGCTGCAGGGTGTCTGTGTGATATCTTTGACCATCTCCCACAGGCCCTGGGGCCTGGCGGACCTGCCCACCCTGCTCAAACGTGGCTTGGCTCTCAGAGAACTCTTCCTTCTAACAAGGCCCATCTCCTACACAAAGATCTCAGCTCTGCCCGTGTCTTCAAGTCCGCATGATCTCACCTTTGTCCCTCCTCCAAGGTCCCCCTGTTCCTAAGTCAAATCAGATGTCATCTCCTATGTTTCTTCTTTTTTCAGTACACTTCTCCCTGCCCTCAGGGGTACATCTTCATGGTCAGGGGCTTGCCCAGCCCATATCCAGCTCCAAGTCTTTGCTTTGCTGTTCCCCCCTGCCTGGAATGCCCTTCACTCTACTCTCCACCTCTCAGTAGGCTTCCGGAGCCAGCTCCTCCAGGCAGCTCTCCTGATTGCTCTTAGTCCTGGAAACCTTGATCAGTATCACTCTAGAGAGTCTTCCCACTTTGACCATCAGGCTCTGAGGGAAGTGACTGTTTTGGACACTTGTCCTTTTGGACTCCCCTAACCCAGAATTAGCCTACAACAGGCTGAAAAAGTGGTTGAGTATTAAGTTTATATGAGGGACTTGCGCAGAAATGGAGGAGTTTGGTTTCACTGCTGGCTCAAGATTAATGCTGGAGAGCTACAAAGGCCTCCAGCGGCTTTCATATAAATTACAAAAAACATGAAACTAACTGTAGGAACTCCAATTTAAGTTCAAGAAAACATGAATTCTAACAAGAAGAATGTGGGGTGCTATGGGTTGAATTGTGTCCCCTGGAAATCCAAATGTTGAAGCCCTAATCCCCAATATGACTGTCAGAGACAGGGTCTTTCAGAGGTAATCAGGGTTAAATGAGGTCATAAGGGTGGGGCCCTGATCCGACAGGACCGGTGTCCTTATGAGAAGTGGAAGACAGACCAGAGTTTTCTCTCCACCATGTGAGGACACGGTGAGAAGGGGGCCATCTGCAAGCCAAGGCTCGCACCAGAACCTGAACTGACCAGCACATTGATCTTGGACTTCTCAGTCTCCACAACTATGAGCAATAAATTTCTGTTGTTGAAGCTGCCCAGTCTCTGATATTTTGTTACGGTGGCCCAAGCTGACTAATACATGGGATGTCACTAACCCTCTTCTGAGATATATGGGAAGTAAGTTCTATTCTTTATAACACATGGGCAGTTTGAACAGCTGGGACCTTGAAGTAGATTAATAGTAACATCAATAACAACAGGTCTCCTTTACTGAGTGTTCAAAATGGACCAGACACTCTGTGAGGGGCTTCTCTGCATTAGCTCATTTACTCCTCACACCCAGCCAATGAGGACATAAGCTTTAGTATCCCGTTTACAAATAGAGAAACAGAGGCCGAGACAACAGAGGTTAAGTAACTTGTACAAGGTCACCGCACTGTGGTTAAGCTGGGACCACATCTGCATGGGAAGAGCAACTACTGGCAAGCCCAGGAGGAACACCACCCACCCACAGTGCAGGGTGGACCATGTGACCTCTCACCCTGGCCCAATTGCAGTCTCGGGCCCTCTTTCCTTCCCAGGGCCCTCGAATCCTTCCCCATCTGCTTAGAATACACTGAAGAGACTGATGCTCTTGGCATATGGCCCCCGTCCACATGCTGCCTTGTCCCCAACCCCATCATCTCCCAATGATGGCCACTGCTACCTAACTCGTCTCCAGCTTTCACTCGATGTCCCCTTGCAATGTACTCACCAGACAGCAGCTAGGCTCATCTCTTAAAAACAAATCTGATCACATCATACCCCTGCTTAAAATGCTCCACTGGCATCCCATTAAACTTAGAATCAAATCTCAACTCCTGACCTTGACTGATGAAGCTCTGTGTGATAGGCTGTGCCCACCTCTCCCTCCCTCTGCCCCCACAGACGCCCTCATTAGTTCCTCGAACATGCCCAGCTGCTTTCTGCCTCAGGGGTCTGCATGCTTGCCATTCCCTCTGCGTGGAACTCTTTTCCACCCAGATCTTCCAGGGGCTGGCTGTTGCTTGTGTTCAGGTCTGCACTAAGAGAGCCCCCCCAGTCATACTCTATCACGTTGCCCTGTTTTAATTCACTACAGAGCCCTCGGGCTACTTGACCAATAAAATAGGAAGTGCAATCCTAGCATACGATTTGGCTCTGAAGGGAATTGTATTTACTTAATAACAACTAATAACATTTATTGAGTACTTAATGTACCAGACAAGGTCTTAAGAGCTTTGCATATAATATTTAATCATCATAATTCTCTAAGGTACATATTATGATTATCTCTATTTCACAGGTAAGGACGGTGATAAAACATATTAAACAAGTTTTCTGAGGTCAAATGGCTAGTGCAAGAGCCGAACTCACACCTGGGCCTGTGAGACCCAGAGGTCCACTCCCCAGGGCTGGCCCTAGAAGCCAGGCCGTTTGGCCTTCAGGCTCCAATCCTCTGGCAAGCAGCAAAGGAAACCATGTGCTATCCACACGCACTCCTGGGAGCCAGGGTGCAGAGCCACAGAGCAACAGCCGAGCTGGTCCAGGCCTGGTAGCCAGTGTGGCAGGGCCAGAGCAGGGCCTTACCTTCCTGCAGTCTTTGCAGAACACCGACGAGCTGCCCAGGTAGCCCAGCACCTCTCCGCAGAGCAGACACTGGGAGAGGCCGTTCCCCAGCACGTTGCGCCTCATGGTGTCCAGCCGCTCCACCAGCCGCCTGCAGCACAGGGCACAGGGTCAGAGGAACGCGAGGCCGGGCTCCGACCCGCCCACTGCCGGGGCACCGCTGCCACAAGGCCCCACACCCAGCCCCATGTGCTGTTCCCTCGCCTAGGATGCTGTTCCCTGCCTTGCCTCTTTGCCTGGCTATCACTCCTAATCATTCATTTACTCACCAATATGAATTAAGCATCTATGATGTACATTTCCAGACATGGGAATTCTGTAGCAAAAAAGCCAGAGACAGACATGGTCCCTGCTCTCACTGAACTTATGTTCAGTAAAGGGAGAAAGTCCAGACACAAGTAAACAAGCAAACTGGCTTTAGAGGGGAAAGCGTTGTGAAATAAAATAAGTGGGCAGGGAGGAAGACACTGCGGGAGGCAGGGGCATGTTAGATGGTGATCAGTGAAGGCCTCTCTAAGGACGTTTGAGCTGAGAGCTAAGGATGACAAGGACCGAACCATGTGAAGAGCTAGGGGAGGAAGCATTCCAGGCAGGGGGAACAGCCTGGAATGTTCTGAGTGAGAAAGGGCCTGTTGCATTAGGATGCTAAGAAGGCCGGTGTGCCTACTGGCTCCTGCGCACGTGGGAGGGGATGTGGGATGAAAGCAGGCTGGAGGGGTGGGGAGGGCGGATTACATGGGCTTTGCAGGTCACAAAATGGAATTCGGATTATTCTCGAAGATCAACGTGAAGCTACTGAGGAGTTTTAAGCAGAGGAGTGATTTGATCTGAGTGACATTTTTAAAAGTTCACTCAGGATGACAGCGGGGCTTGGAGGTGAGGAAGACTGCAGGAGGTGGTGGGAGGCCCAGGGGGATGGAGACTGGCATGGGCTGTATTTCAGAGGCAGCCTCGATGGATGTGGGGTGAGGGAAGGTAAGAGAGACCCAGGATGATGCAGAAGCCTTTGGTTTGAGCCACGGGGTAGAGGAAGACGTGGGAGAAAGAAAGAAAAAGCCTGTCTTTGAACCTCTGCTGCTGTGTCCAGGAGCCTTCCCTGAACCTCACTGAGCCTGGGGTAGGTGCCTCTTCTGGGGGTCCCACGGCCCCTCAGCCCACTGTGCCCCCTGCTTCATGACAATGTATAATGCAATACTCGAAACTGGCAGCGACTTGTTCTGTTGGCAGCAGTATCTCCAGTGAAAATTCTTGAGTGAATGGACAGACACATTATCTCCTCTAATTGTCACAACCCCCTCCCATGGGGTTTTTGCATTTAAGGGGACACAAATGTAAAAAACCCATGTAATCCACCCTCCTCGCCCCTCACTGTGCCCCAGTGAGAAAGATGCTATTTCTCCCCATTTTAAAGATGAGAAGATTCAGGCTCAGAGATGTGAAGTCACTTGTCAAGGTCACACAGCTCTTAAGAGGTGGAGCCTGTGTTCACACCCAGGCCCCACTCTCATGGCAACCCCACTCTCTCCCCTGAGGTGATGACTCTGCCTGGGTGCCGAGAAAGAGCAGACTGAGCAGGAGGCTGCTTCTACCCCCCTTGCCCTCTAGCAAGCACCCCTGACTTCCACAGGGGTATCCTCCCTTACCTGGGGACCTACAGGGCCTCTGGAGCAAAGCCAGTTTCAGCTCTGTCTTGCCTGTTCTTGGGGACCCCCTGTCAGTACCACCCTGTGCCTCCTAACTCATGAAACACTGGATGTACCTGCCTCCTCCTTCTGAGATGATTAACCTGAGGCACTGCCTTCTGGGTCATTCTGTGCCCCTGCCAAACCCAGTGCTCCCAGAGCGGGCCGGACAATGTGAGCAGCACAGGAAAGGCAAACGCTGTAGCCCAGATGGATGAGGGGACGCATATGCTTCCCACTAGATGGGGAGCTGACATGAACCACTGCCCACTGAGCCCTGCACACCCTCCTGGGTATCGATCATCAGCTGGGGGGTAGGGGTGGTCCTGCACAGCGCCTTGCAGGGCCTTGGGCAGGATAGGGCCAGAGACAGGTCAGGTGGGGAAAAAGGGAGATGAGTTGGTCTGATCTAAACCCTCTTTGTAACACAGTGATAGTAAAAGGTCAGAATTACTGAGGCATATACACTAAACTGCTGGGACAGCAGTGATCTTTGTAGTGGTGCTTTCACTTTCTACAATGTCTGGCTTCTTTAAATGATCACATACTTACTAGAAAAGATAAATAGAAGAAGCACAGGGAGATCAGAATCAAATGAACTGCCCAAGGCAGTGCACTGCCATTTGTGTTTTCCTGCTTGTGCTTTTCTGTGTTTTTCAGATTTTCAAGGAACTGTAAATTGCTTTTGTAATTAAACAAACAAAAAAAGACCCAACAAAGCTGTTTGGAGACTGTGTTGAGTCAGCTCTGGATGTGGGAGGCCAGGAGAGAAGCTCAGAACAAGCTGGAGAGCATCTCCTGTTGGTCTCAGGTGGGACAATCCGGGGTCAGCCTCAACTTAAATCCCTCGCTGCTGGACCGCAGCTGACCCTTAAGTGTGCAGAGCTGAACAGCCCAAACACGTTTCACCACACTCACTCACCCCCCACACTCGGGGCCCACACAGGAGCCGCTATCCCCATCTTACAGGTGGGCATACTGAGTCTTTGATGGGCTGGGTTAGTGTCTGCACTCCAGGGGTGTTCAGGCAGAGCAGACTCACTCTCAGGGGTGAAAAGCCAGCTGTAGGATGAAGGCGAAGACGCCCAGCCCACTGGCCTGGCACTAAGTGCCCTGCCTTCCTCTCGCCGGTGGTCTGCTCCTGACCCGGCCCAGAGCAGCCCTTACCCGATCCTCTGCTGCTCCAGGACGTCCAGCCGCTCGGCCCTCTGGATGACCTGCAGGATGGCCTCCACCTCGGCCGGGCTGAGGCACTGGCTCTTCCTCTGCTTCTCTGTCTGGTAGGTGTGCACAGACCAGCCTGTCTGCAGCCTCGAGAAAGAACACAGGCCCTGAGGTCACCCCCGTGCAAACCCCAACACCCCTGCCATTCCCATGAAGGCCCCCTGAGGACAGTCCAGAGAAGGCCCAGCTGCTGTGTCAGGGGAAAGGAGTTCAGGGAACAGGGAGGTGCCAGGCTCCAAGTGCCGGCTCTGCCACATGCCAGCTACAGCCTGCAAAGATGGCAGCACCATCTCAACTCCTCAGGAGGCGGGAACAGGGAATGCGCCCGCTGTACAAATGGAGAAGGCCAAGGCCACAGCCACGGCCATGGCCAAGGCCACAGCCATGGCACGTGAGGTTTTCAGGGAGAAGCGCAGGAGATGGGCAAGAAAAGAATGAAAACCTAGATCTGAGTCACAGAAGAGAGTGACATGGAGTTTACTACGGAACAGGAAAGAACAAGTAATTAGGTTTAAAATAATCCTTGAGGATAAAAGGAGATTAACAGCATTTTGAAAACAGAGGGTTCAAGGGCAGGAGGGTAATGGAGCTGGATGAGAGGAGAGGTGGCCGGGGCAGGCAAGAAGGAGAGGTGGGCTGGCCTCCCCCGGGGCGCAGCTGTCTCCACTCCCCTGGGCTGCAGGACACCTGTGGCTGGGACCCGGGGTGGAGGGGAAGGACTCACACCCTTTCTAGTTTTCTGGATGGGGAGGGAGTGCCAACACCAGACCAAGGCCCACGCTTCCTGCCCTGGGCCTCAGCTTCTCCTAGACATTCTGTGCCAGGTGCTGGGAACAGAAATGCACAAGATGGCAGTCACTGCCTTGGAGAACTACAATATGCTGGGGGAGACAGGTGCCCAATCAATTTCACAAATATTTATTTAATGAAAAGTTATACGGGCTATTCATTCAATGCACATTTTTGAGCATCCACTGTGATGCCAGGCTCAGAAGGTGCTGGGGAAAGGCTGCTGGAGGGGACATGCAGGTGGGTGGGCATAGCACCAGCACTGCCACCTGTTCCAGTGGGCACAGCTCCTACCCAGCTCTCTTTGGACCCAGTGCCAGCCTGAGGCTCGTAGACCCCTTCCACTGGACCTCATGTCATTCTGCAAGGCAGGCCTCCCATTTCTCAGAGGAGAAGAGGCAGGGCACAGTTAGATGGTTTTCTAAAGGCAAGCCAGGAGGACGCCTGCCGACTCCAGTCTTGGCCAGGGGAGCTCCTGTCTAGCGTCTAGCAGCTGCCAACAGCCCTGCCAGGCTCCCCCAGGGCATCCTCCGAGCCTCCTTTCCTGCCTCCATCTGATCACCCACTGAGCCCTGACAATTTATGTTCTTTCATTCGATTCCTCCCCCAGCTCCCTATCCCTGTCCCATCATGCCCATGGTTGCCACTGAGCATCGTGTTCCCTGCGGTGCCCCTCCACTCAGCCAAAGGAGGCCCACTCAAGCTTCTAGATGCAGATGGGCTACAACCCCTGGGGAAGAACCTTCAGGGGTGCTCAGCACCCATCTGTATGTCCCCAGTAGGGCGCCCTCGTTCCTTGGCTCCCCTGGCCTCACACGGTGTGCATGACCAACAAATGCTCCTCGTGCCCTGAGTTCTTCTTGGCTGCATGCTGTCTCCCGGCCTTTGCTCACCCTGTGCCCTCCACCTGGGGAGCACGCCCCTCTCCCTAAACCCCCTTTCCACTGGCTCACTCCTATTCTATTATTATTATAATATATTTTTTAAATCCTCACCTGAGGATATTTTTTCCATTGCTTTTCAGAGAGGGTGGAAGGGGGGAGAGAGAGAGAGGAAGAAATATCAGTGTGAGAGAGACACACCAATTGGCTGCCTCCAGCGCACACCCTGACCAGGGCCAGGATCGAGCCTGCAACCAAGGTACGTGCCCTTGGCTGGAATTGAACCTGGGACCCTTCAGTTCACAGGCTGATGCTCTAACCAGTAAGCCACACCGGCCAGGGCTCACTCCTACTCTTTTAGACACGATCTTCACCAGGAGGCTTTTCTTGATCACCTCCAAAATGCGTTGAGTCCATTCTCCGTTTTCATAACGCCCAGGCATAGCTCCATCACTGGGCTCAAACATTATTTTGAGGCAAGCTGGGACCTTCTACCGCCCCTCCAGAATGTGGGACCAGGCTCTGCCCCGCCTGGCTCCTGCCCACCTCTCCACCTTCCTTGTAGCCCATTCACTGCCTCACTTACTCTCTGTACTCACGTCAACACTGGCTTCCTCTTCATGCCATGTTCCTTCTACCTCAGGGCCTCTGCACATGCTGTTCCTTCTTCTAGAAGCCCCTCCCCCATATTTCCACCTAACATTTACCCCTCCTCCAGGACTCAACATAAGCATCACACTCTCAGTGAAGCCTCTCTCAATTCTCAGATCGAGTTAGCACCCCTTTCACCCCCATTGCCGGTGTCCACTGTTAAAGCACATGGGTAATTATGTGTATAATGCTCATTCCTACCCACAGTGCCTTAAGACAAGAGATCATGGTGGTCTGGTTCACTGCTGTGCAACCAGTGCCAGGCACATGGTAGCGGTTTGGAAAATGTTTGATGGTGGCTGGAGGACAGAAGGACAGACTTGAGCTAGAGCCAGGGAGGGTAATTTCCCCAGGCTTCCCAGAGGGACCCTCAGCGCAGTGCCTAGATGTGGGGATTTGTAGTACTCGCCTTCACGGAGCCTGGCATTACAAGGAGCCTGGCATCACAAGGAGCCTGGCATCACAAGGCAGCACACCCCGGGGAGAAGATAAAAGCATTTGCTTCTCTAAAAAGTGTTACAACAGCTTCTGGCTGCTGCTGAGTGTAAGACAAGGTCAGGGAGAACTGAAGGAAATGATGGAGGGGTGGACAGGGGTCACACAGAGCCCTGGTACCAGAGCACAGCTTTCCCCCGCTCCTCGTATCCAGCCAGGCATCAGAGCAGGGAGGGAGAGGGGCTGCTTTCCTCCCTGGTCTCTTCCCCTGCGGGGGCTGAGCCACCCTGGTGAGAGGGACAAATTAACTGTTGTGCAAAGATTCCTGCAAATCACTCAGGACTCCACTCTTCTTGGGCATTTCAGATTAATTTTTCTCTCCCCCTTTGATGTTTCTGCCCTGTGTCCCTGCAGGCGCATAACATCTAATTGCAATTTTTTTTTAACTCTGTCCCATTTGGGAAATGCTGGTTCTGCTAATTGACACAGTTTGACAGATGAAGGGGATGCTTAGGCTTATCTGACACCAGGGACCCCCAACTCCCTGGAGAGACAGGGAAACAGAAAGGCAGGAGAGGCATCTGAGAGCCCTTGGCCTTCAGCCATCGGGGGACACTAGGCAGAGGCAGCCTGAGTAAAATGGAGCTGAGGGGTCACCAGGATGAGAGACAATAGAAAAACCAGGACCCCAAGGGGACAAGCCAGAACCAGAGAGACCCTGAGAGGAGCGCGGAGGAGCCCTGGGACGCCCGCGGCTGGCTGTGCGCGTGTGACAGCCGGGGTGCAGCTCTGCATTCATCTGGCTTCATTCATCGGCCTTCACTCTGTTCCTGTCAACGCCGGGCACTCAGCTATGAAGTGGGCCTCCGGAGACCCAAGGCTCCCCGCCTCCCGGGGCTCAGGGCCTGAAGACTCAGCGACAGGGGGTTTATGCTCTTCCCAGAGAAGGCAAAGGAAGTGCTCTGGCTCCCTGCAGCCTGTTGTGATAGAAAGAACACAGGTGCGGGAGTCAGAAGGATCCCAGACTGGGTCCTGGCCCTGGGTACGTGACTTGGGCAAGGAGCCCAGCCTCACTTTCCTCACCTGAGACATGGACATAAATTCCATGTGGCGTTCAAATGAGTGAATGGCTGTTCAGGGTGTGGAGTATGGTGTTTATGAGATAGGCACCTGTCTCCAAACTTCTCTCTCCGGGTCCCTGGGACTGAATCTTGCCAAAGAAAGGAGGGGAACAGGAACAGGGAAGGAAGGGAAGGGCTGCCTCGGCCTTGGGGGTACTCACTTGGCTCGCAGGGCAAGCTGGCGGTCATTGGGACAAACCCACTGATGGCTCCCGCTGCCGAAGATGGTGTCGGCCATGCTTGGAGTGCCCGGCCCGCGTGGGGAGTCACATCTGAGCGGAGAGGCGGAAAAAGAAAGAGCATGTCATTGGCTGGGGTGCAGATGGCAGACAGGTCCTTCAGGCTCCACACACTGGCACTGCCAACCTATCCCCATACGTCGCCCCCTGATGCCTGGAGTCTCACCATCGGAATCACTCCTGCAGCTAAATACTGTTCCCTCCAAACTCCTTTCAAAAGGCTCCTAATTCTGGGAGGGCAACTGCATTTTCAACTTAGCTGGCAAGCCTCTGGGGGTCTGGGGGTCTGTCCCCACTCCCTCCAAGTACGGTGCCTGCTGTGCTTAGCACATCGCCTAGCAGGGGGGGGGGGCCCTGATCAGCTGCCCAGGCACATGGGTGTGCTGAAGCCAGTGCCTTCCCTCAGCTCTGCTAACAAGGCCTGCCCGGACTCTGCTCCCCAAGAGATTCTGCCACAGCCAACGCTCACGGTGCCAGGGCAGGAAGGAGGGCAGAGAGACAGCTGCAGCCAGCACTGGCACCCTGCACAACTGCGGGGACACAGTGCAAACGGCACCCTGGGAAATCCTGCAGAGAGGTGACCCTGCTCCAGACTTCCTGGTGGTTTGACTTCTACAGTCTGGCATACCGGCTTTCTCTCTGCCACCAACCACATGCGTTAGCGGGACAAAAAGGAGCATGAAAGGGAGAGATGGTTTTGAGGGTATCAACCCCAGAGTACAGACGAGGGTGTGAACTGAGTTATCCACACTCCCCTGGTTTAAGCCCCTCTAGCCCAGCGGTTCTCAAACACAGGACTTCTTTCTTTACACTCTTAAAAATTACTGAGGTTGGAAATGAGCGTTGGCAGTTCCCCAAATGTTAAACAGAGCTACCATATGACCCAGAAACTACTTCTAGGTATATATATATATACCCAAGAGAACTGAAAACACGCATCCACACAAAACCGTGTGCGTGGATGTTCACAGCAGCATTATTTACAACAGACAAAAAGGGGCAACAATTCAAACGTCCATCAACCGATGAATGGATAAAATGTGGCTTATCATACAAAGGAATTTTGTTATTTGGCCATAAACCTAGATGCACTGTGCAAGCATTATCCTGAGTGAAAGAAGCCAGACACAAAAGACTGCATATTGTATGGTTCCGTTTATATGAAACATTCAGAACAAGCAAATCTATACAGACAGAAAATAGATTAGTAGTTGCCAGGGCTGGGGTGGGGGGAAGGGAGGAATGGGGAATAACTGCTAACGGGTTCAGGGTTTCTTTTTGATGAAAATGTTCTGGAATTAGATAGTGGTGATGGCTGCACAAGCTTGTGAATACACTAAAACCACTGAACTGTATACACTTTAAAAGTGTGAATTTTAGCTTGGCCGGGCGTGGCTCAGCGGTTGAGCGTCGACCTAGGATCCAGGAGATCGGGGTTCGATTCCCCGGTCAGGGCGCATGCCCCGGTTGCGGGCTCGATCCCCAGTCGGGGGCGTGCAGGAGGCAGCCGATCAATGACTCTCATCATTGATGTTTCTCTCTCTCCCTCTCCCTTCCTCTCTCTGAAATCAATAAAGATATATTTAAAAAAATAAAAGTGTGAATTTTATGGTATGAGAATTATATCTCATAAAATTGTTATAAAAATTCTTGAGGCCTTGGCCAGTGTGGCTTAGTTGTTGGACCATTGTCCCATGCATGGAAGGGTCATGGTTAGATTCCTGGTCAGGGCACATACCCAGGTTTTGGGTTCAATCCCTGGTCGGGCACTTACAGGTTGATGTTTTTCTCTCTCTCTCTCTCTCTCCCCTCCCTTTCTCTCTCTCTCAATAAAAAAAATTCTTGAGGATTCCAAGTGATATCGGCTATATCTATTGATATTTGTAATATTAGATATTAAAACAGAGAAAAAATTTGAAATTCATAAAAAATAATAAATCCATTAGGTGTTCACCTATTTTACCAAAAAAACCACCCCTATATTCTCAAAACAAAACCCACAGTGAGAATAATAGTATTGTTTTACATTTTCACAACTCTATGTAACGGTTGGCTTAACAAAAACCAGTTGGATGCTCATATCTGATTTTCCATTCAATCTTTTGTGATATGTGGTTTTGTGAAAGTGCATGAAGGACATCCAGACTCTCACAGATATGTACTAAAGTGGGGAAAGGGAGGAGTACTTTAATAGCCTTTCTAGATAACTGTGGCTAGTCTTTCACACTGCACCAAAACTCAACAGTTGGTTGTTTCTTAAAAACTAGTTCTAATGTGGCATCTGAAACCATATCAATAAACTTTTCACATTTGTGAGATAATGAGACCAAATACCTCATTACTATTATGAAAATAATTTTGATCTTGTAGACTCCCTGCCCTGTTGGGGACTCCCAGCCCATGGTTTGAGAAAGGCAGTTCCAGGCCAATGTCACTCACTTCTGTGATGACCAGCAGGGAGCAGCAAGCAGCCTGCAGCTAACTGACCCACACAGAGACCACACCCATGACCTTGACCTAACGGGTCTCAGGCACCTGCTTTCTACTGTGACTGCCTCGGGAGAGACACACGTGGAGACCCCACGGCCAGGCCCACACTGGGGTGCCGCCATCATCAAAGGCCTCCTCAGACTGAAAGTCCTGATCTTCTCTCAAATGAGACTAACTAACATACAGTCCAGGAAAACACAGGTGGGGTAAAAAATGAGACTCATCAACCAACTTTAAACGGGCGTCCCATTTCTAGCCTTTGGTGCACTGCGGTTTGTTTTGGTTTGCTTTTTTAACTTCTGTTATCTTGGGAATAGCACAGTCACACTGCTGTGTGGGTGTGAAAAGCGTTACTCTGTTCCAAGTAAACTTTTAAAATATACTACAACTTGGTAGCCCTGCTTCTTTATTATTATTACAGTATTTTAAAAATATCCACCAGGCATATGTTTGTTCCAAGACCTCCAGTGGATGCATGTACATTGGTTTTTTTCCTATACATACATACATATGATACAGTTAAATTTATAAATTAGGCACAGTAAGAGATTAACAATAATAACTAATGATAAAATGGAACAATGATAACAATATACTGTAATAAAAGTTATGTGAACGTAGTCAATCTCTCTCTCTCAATGTATCTTTTGTACTGAACTCCATTTTCACTTAAAAGGAGCACTTTTATGGCTTCTCTTTGGCATATCCGAATTGCTAGCATCCCTACTTTTGCACTTTGGGGTCATTATTACGTAAAACAAGTGTTACTTGAACAGAAGCACAGAGATGCTGCAGTCAGTCTGCTAACCAAGACCGTTACTAAGTGACTAACAGCGTGGATACACTGGACAGAGGGATGCTTCACATCCCGGGCGGGACGGCAGGAGATGTCATCCCACTACTCAGCACGGTGCATCATTTAAAACTTGTGCATTGCTTATCTCAGGAATTTCCNTGCTTTTTTAACTTCTGTTATCTTGGGAATAGCACAGTCACACTGCTGTGTGGGTGTGAAAAGCGTTACTCTGTTCCAAGTAAACTTTTAAAATATACTACAACTTGGTAGCCCTGCTTCTTTATTATTATTACAGTATTTTAAAAATATCCACCAGGCATATGTTTGTTCCAAGACCTCCAGTGGATGCATGTACATTGGTTTTTTTCCTATACATACATACATATGATACAGTTAAATTTATAAATTAGGCACAGTAAGAGATTAACAATAATAACTAATGATAAAATGGAACAATGATAACAATATACTGTAATAAAAGTTATGTGAACGTAGTCAATCTCTCTCTCTCAATGTATCTTTTGTACTGAACTCCATTTTCACTTAAAAGGAGCACTTTTATGGCTTCTCTTTGGCATATCCGAATTGCTAGCATCCCTACTTTTGCACTTTGGGGTCATTATTACGTAAAACAAGTGTTACTTGAACAGAAGCACAGAGATGCTGCAGTCAGTCTGCTAACCAAGACCGTTACTAAGTGACTAACAGCGTGGATACACTGGACAGAGGGATGCTTCACATCCCGGGCGGGACGGCAGGAGATGTCATCCCACTACTCAGCACGGTGCATCATTTAAAACTTGTGCATTGCTTATCTCAGGAATTTCCCATTTAATATTTTCAGACCACAGTTGACTACAGGTAACTGAAACCATAGAAAGTAAAACCGTGGAGAAGGGGGAACTACTGCATTCTGGAAGCTTCAAGAAATGGAAGTGATGGGCTCTCCGGCTGGGAGAACCTGTGCCCTGGGTAAACCAGGTGCCCCCGCAGCCACCAGCCATTGCCTCACTGATGCCACCGCTCCTGCTTCGGCCTGCAGGGGCCGCCACATCTCAGGCCACTGCTCCCAGCCCTGGAAGGCCCTGAGCCTTCCTGCCCATCCTGGGGCAGCTGGGCGCCATGAGTTGGGAGTGGCCCCTTCTCTCTGCCAGGCATCTCCACAGAAGTAGGGGGGCACCGGAGCAGGGGGTGACCACGGAGGGGAGGGGACCACGGAGGGAGGAGCAAGCCAGGGAACCTCAGGGTGGGAAATCCATTTTCTGCAGAAGCTTCTGAACAAAAGGGAATGGAGCTGGGCAGGGGGAGGAGGTGGGAAGAAAGCAGGGGTCCTGGGCTCTCATGCTCAAACCTGCACCTCCTTTACGGCGGGACGGGTGGGGACATCTAGGAGGAGACAGTGGCAAACACAGGTAGAGACACAGCAACTCCTCACAGCCCCAAACAGATCACCCCAAATGAATCTCAAGGGAATGAACCCCATTTTAAGCCCTTGAGTCACTTCCTAGTGGGGCCAGAGTTTGGGGACCACTGGCAAGGGAGCCCCCAAACTAACATTTATCTGTCCTCTGACCCATTTGAGGGCAATTTCTTTTCTTTGTTTTTTAACTTTAGCCAGAGCAACTCTGTGACCACCCACAGGCTATTGTGTTCTGTCTTCCTAAATCTAATCACTGTTTTTTCTGTTCGACAGAAAAGAGGGGTTAAGACNAACATTTATCTGTCCTCTGACCCATTTGAGGGCAATTTCTTTTCTTTGTTTTTTAACTTTAGCCAGAGCAACTCTGTGGTGACCACCCACAGGCTATTCTGTTCTGTTCTTCCTAAATCTAATCACTGTTTTTTCTGTTCGACAGAAAAGAGAGGTTAAGACGTTGAGCAAAGGTCACAGAGCTAACTACGCCAGTCTGCTAACCCTTCACCAATGCTCCTGCAGGGGGAAGGGTTTGGAACAGTGAGGAAGGCGGAGAGAAGACTCAATTAGTAAAGAAAACCCCACGAAAGTGTGGCTTTTATGCAAACTTACTGGAAGACCAGGGACAAGTCAGTTAGCTTTCTGGGCCTTAGTTTCCTCCTTGGCACCCAACGCTGGAGGGACTGCCCTGTGCAATTCCAGTGCCTGGTTCCTCCCAGTCAAGTTGCAGGAGGGAGGCACCGGTGGCAGGCAGGGGACCGATGAAGGGCCCTGGCGTGGGTGGCTGGT